ACTGATCTACAGGTGTCTAAACATGTCGATCTGCTAACTGATGTGTTCTCATCACGTTACTCTACTTCTGAACAGTCAGGAACACACGGTGAGCAGTTTCCTGCTGTTTATGAGTCCTAGTCGTCTGTCCCATAGCAGACTGAACCAAAGATCTAAAACCATGAAGATAACTGCTGTCGAGCTGAACTGTGCAGCGGCTTTACTGAAGAGCAGGGGGGTCCAGATTCGGTCCTGGAGGGAGACCGGAGGGTCCTGCAGAGTTTAGTTCAGACACACCTGGGCTAGCTAATCAAGCTCTTACTAGGCTTTCGAGAAACATCCGTGCAGGTGTGTTGAGGCAAGCTGCAGCTAAATCTGCAGGACAGCAGCCCTCCATGACTGAGTGTGGACACCCCTGCTGTAGATCCAGAGCACAGACACCTGCTCAAGCTAAAGCAGACAGCAGCAGGCGATCATCTATTATTATGATCTAGCCCAGGGGTCACCAATCTTGATCCTGCAGGGCACCGGACCTCCAGGGTTTAGCTCAAACTAGCCTCAACACACCTGCCTGGGTGTTTCAAGAATAAAAAGAGCTTGATTAGCTGGTTCAGGTGTGTGTGGTTAGGGTTGGAGCTAAACTCTGCAGGACACCGGACCCCTGATCTAGCCTGACATGCTCACGGCTCTGAAATATGTGGCGTGTGTGTTCAACTCAAATATCTGGTGTTGAGTGGGGATGAACGCTTGTTCTGCACTCAGACATGTGCAGTGGAGATATATAGAGCAGTGGTCACGCTACTGTGACTCTTACAGCGGCCCGAGCCCACCTGCAGCATGGCGACGATCTCCACTTTGTTAAAGAAGATGAAGGAGGAGAGCGTGGACAGGAAGCTCTCCTCGAAGACGGAGGGCGTGGGCAGGATGATGTCCTGGATGTACTGCACGCGGTAGGTCTGGTGGATCTTCTGCCGCAGCTCCGAGTCCTGGATGGGGATCACCTCCCGGAAGCGTGCCGTCTTGGTGAGGAAGTCCCGGTGGCGTTTGGGCTGCAGCAGCGCGGGGTCGTACTCCAGGCAGCCCACCACGTCCATGATGCAGTCGTCGGAGAACAGCACCTCGAACAGCGCCGCCTTATTGAGGAACAGCAGCCCGCGCAGGATCTGGAAGAGCTGCTGCAGCCGCGGCCGGTTCTCCTGCTCCTCACAGCGCCGGAACAGCAGCAGCAGCTGCCGCAGGTACCCGCCGCTCACCAGCGCCAGCGCCAGCTTCTCCCTGCGCACCGGCGATGGCAGCACCGACGACACCAGCTCCGCCAGCTCCTGCAGACGCTCCGGCACACACTCGGGCAGATCCAGAGCATCACACTCCGCTCCAGAGTCCTCACAGCGCTCCTCCTCAGACTCATCCACCGGCTCCTGCGTGATCTCCACTGACGGGTCCTTGCCTTGGACCTGCACACACACACGCACACACACACACACACGCACACACACACACACACACACGCACACACACAGAGTTTCATTAACATGACTAAAAGAAAAGGCCGTTCTTTCTGAACATCGCCGCTGTGATCATGACCCAGAAACAGAAACGGGTTGAGGGAAAACATCCATGACTCAGAACAGTCTATGGTGTAGTGGGAGAGGATGAACTGACGTCTAAACTAGCTGCAAAATGTGTGTGTACACCCTACAGCATAGGAAACAGTCAGTGTAAACTCTCGTGTCTCTTTTACATTATCTAGACGTCAGTATTATTATTGTAAGTGTTTAATTATCAAATCTATGATCTGTTTTTCCTTCATTTATTTGTGATTTACTGTATATTGGATTAATTTGATGATGTTCATATATTACATATCTGATTATACATGTTTAAAATGCTGAATACTGAACTGATGTCCTGCCAATACAGCAACCTGAACCTGAACCATACATCACACTGCAGTATTAATGATCAATTCTATACTATACAATCAGTAACTATACTATCAATTCTGCTGACCCTATTCGCTGGACTCTGATTGGCTGATGCTCATTCTCAGGTGTTTGGTTGTCAGCTAAAGTAGTTCCGGTAGATTTAGAACTCATTACAGCTCCATATCACTCCACTGAATGATTAGAGTTACTACACACACACACACACACACACAACAGAAGGAGGAGGAGGACACTAGTGCTACACACAGGAGATGCTTGGAGGACACACACCTGACTAACACACACACACACACAACATCTGAATATTAGAGGATAAAGCGCGCACACGCACACACACATTTCTGAGAGTGAACAAACACAGAGATTAAGAGTGAACACACCTGACAGATCTTCTCCCAGATCTCGTCACAGCCGGCCTTCTCCTGGAAACTCAGAGCCAGATCATAGTTCTCCGCTTCAGACCAGACGATCAGTGTGTCCTGAGGAGAGCACAGCGTTACACACTCACCCAGTGTGTGTGTGTACATATGAGAGAGTGTGTCCGGAGGAGAGCAGCACAGACCTAACACACACTCACTCAGTGTGTGCGTGTATGAAAGAGTGTATCGTGAGCATATAGATACACACATATGCGAGTGTGTAGATCAGAAGTGTGAGTTTACATGTGAGTCTGTAGATTTGAAGTGTGTGCAGTAGGTGTGTGTGTGTAGGCTGTGTGTTCACCTGCTGTTTCTGATAGGCAGTGCTGGGCTTGATCTTGGACTCGAGCAGCAGTGACCCTGAGGAGCAGAGAACAGTGAGGGTCAGTACACACACACACACACACACACACACACACACACACACACACACACAGTTTCTCGTACCGTCAGACTCTGCGGTGACCGACAGCGCGGTGTCCTCGGCGGAGCAGCACACATGGCCGGTTCCTCTGTCCTCCCACTGCCGCTCTTCATTCAGCGTGTAAACCTTCACGCGCCGTCGGGTGTCGCTCATCCTGACCGGTGACCGAACTAATCTATAGTACCGTGTGTGTCCGCTCAGCCGCAGAGCCGCGGGCCGGCCATCCTCACTGAACCGCCGGACAAACTCACACTCAAACACACACTCCGGCTGTGTTTACGTAGGAACACGGATGCTGCGGTGTGTTTTCTCCTGTCAGTAGCGGCGCCGGTTGGCTCACGGTCTCCTCATAGCAGCGTCTCCGCCGCCGCTTTTGGGTTCTCGGTAATCGGTAAACTGTTTACGCGAGTGTTTGTCTATCCTCCGAGCGGCGCCATCTTGTGTGTCTTTCACTTCACCGTCGCTCCTCTGATGGCGCGGGGTTTCCGTACACGGGCTACGGCGGCTGCAACAGGACAAACGCTCGCGCTCCAGTTGCCATGGTTACGAGTCTAGGGCGCGCAGAACCAATCATCTTTCAGAAAACACTGAAAGACCCTAGAAACGGAAATAGAGTCGCTATATGTAATCATCAGTGTTCGCTTCAGTGATGTCTATAATCCAGTGTGCTGCAAAACTGTGCAGCATTCACCTTCATAAGACATAAACACTCACTGCCTGCTTCCGAAACCGCTGAGATACAACCTGAGAGACGACAATACAGCCCTCACTGTCACAGTCTGCTGCACGTTTAATCGTTTATTTTACAGACTTCATATAACATGCTGCTGTTCTGTTGGAGTTTTCATTCCAAAATGGCCGCCGCGTTACAATAGCGGCATCTAGTGGCTGTTTCCCAAATCGCACTAGAGTGTCGCCTCTTGCTGATTCTATGTTCTGTGTAAGCAGAAATAAAATTTGTTTTTGAAAGTGATTTTAAAAGTTATTGTAAGCGATCTGAAGGCAAAACAAGCTTTACAGAAGCTGGAGATATATTTCTTTGGTCATATGTGTACACAAACATGTAAACGGTCTATACCATCACTCATTCGTGAGACGTCATGCTCTTATTGTTTTTAGCATGTGTTTACACATCCATAAAAGCGTCCTGCCGTTATCGGCGCGCAGTGAATATTGGGGCGTTCGAGGCCGAGAAGGATCCACCGGTTGTGTCCTTCATTATCCGGGAAACAGAGGACAAATTTTGAGGCTGCGTTTGAAGAAGGGGCTACTCTTTGCCCCGCCCTCTCTTCATGGTTCAGACAATAGAGATTAAATAATGCAGAATTTAAAAATGCGCATGTGAAGCGCTGCACATCATAGAGCTCGAGCGTATCTGTTATCCTGACTGTAGAGAGCAAACAAAGAACAGGTGAAGATGCGTGAAATGTTTATTTATTACTGTTAATCAGAATAATCATTGAAATAAAGATGTTTCTCATGGTAATCTGCACAGTCTGACCATCTGAGGGCTTCCTTAGCAACAGCATATCAATAAGCTTAGCCACGCCCCTCTTACCGTTAGTTTGCTATGGAGGAATGATGCGTAGGAAAGCCCCACCCCCTTTCAGTGTCATGGTCATATTAATAAACTGTCATCATCACTGTACAGAGTTCAGTCATAACCTCATGTAAAGCAGCTCTCATGACATCATTCCTCAAGATGTGGCGCTTCTGGCTAATCAGAAGCTGAAGAAAAGGAACCAGTAAAGCAGGAGATGGGTGCCACCATCGTTTCTGTTTTCCTCCCTCACAGCCGTCTTCAATATTCTGTCTCAGCTGGAAGCGCATCAGCACACTGGAATGCAGCACACTAGTTCACTTACAGTAAAGGTTTACAATGTATTGGTAACGGCTCCGCCCTATTCCCTACACAGAGGACACTGCTGAGGGAAACCCTTCCTCAGGCATTAGAGACGAGCCCTTACCAATGAAGAGTGCTGATCGACACCAGACTACCTCACGAATGAGCAGCAGCGCCCCTCAGTGTCCTTCAATATCCTGCATCCTACAGTGCCCAGACAGGAAGAAATGACCCAGACGACTCTTCAGACCGGCTCAAACAAACATCAGTTTATTAATGAGTGTTTCACTAGTGGACACTGGCGCCATCCACACAGAACCTGAACAGAACTGTAGGAACTAGAGTGCCGAGCGGATCCTGCTGTCTGGATCTGAGCAGGGTAATAAGTGCAGACGTCCAGCACACACACACACACACACACACACACACACACACACACACACACACACACACACACACACACACACACACACACACACACACGCAAACACACACACACACACACACACAGAGATCCACACAAACAGAGATCTTCGAACTCTCAAACAGACCCCCCCCCCACACACACACACACACAAATACACACACATACACACACAAATACACACACATACAGACCTAGAAACAAACACACACACACACACACACACACACAGAGAGATCCACAAACACACACAGACCCCCCCAACACACACATACACACACACACACAGAGACAAACCCTACCCAACACCACCCCCCCACCAACCAAACACACACACACACACAGATCGACAAAAAACAGTTCCACAGAGACACACAGAAAAGAAACAAAACACACACACAAACGCATGCGTATCCACAAATACACAAAGATCAGGCCAATGTCAGAAGATGTAGGTGCGTGCATGTGCGAGTGTGTGTGTGTGTGTGTGTGTGTGTGGACTCGTCATACTGTAGGTCAAGAGTAAATCACACAGAATTACACAGCTGCCAAAGCCCATTACTGCAGCAGATGAGGAAA